CCCCAAAACCCCAAAACCCCAAAACCCCAAAACCCCAAAACCCCTATAAAATTTTATATGATTGAACAGATTTACCTCCTCTTCCGAGTAAAAGGCTTGTACACCTTCAGCTCTGCTTTGGAAATATCATATGCCCCAGGAGGAGGGACAAACTTCTTTAATTTCGCTACTTCATCAGAAAATGTAGGGATGTTTGTGGGGTTTCCAAATCCTGTCTTTCTTAATGAGATTTGTGTCTTTTTGAACGAATCTAGGGGATTATAACTTCAAGGACTCAAACCAGATTTCTTCACATTTTTAACTGATCTTTCAGCACGGGAGAGCATAAATAATGTAGATCGTGGCTTTTTCTCAACTTGCTTAAAATTTGCATCATGGCATAAAGGAGTAGATTTACCTTTAAACATGGCCTCATCAATAAAACCAAGGCTTCTATCAGAGTCCTTATGCTCTCCCTCCTGGTGTAAATGAATGTAATCAGGTTTGTATGACCCTGGGCCAGGTGTTGAGGCTCCTTTCTTAATAATCTCTTCAGCAATGGTTAGTCTTGGAATTTTGCTAAATCGCCTTTTCTCTGGGTTCTGCATGCTCATATTTCCCATAACCTCATATTTATCAGGAGATGGGACAAATTTCTTCATCTTATAGATATCATTCAAGAAATGACCTCTCTTACCAGGTAAAAACTTTGCATTAAGAATGCGTTCATTATAATGCTGAGTATTGGGAATTTTGTAGAAACTAAATCCGAAGCTAGGCTTTCGGTCTATCAACGATTTCCTATTTTGCATCGTAATTGAGGATTTCCGTGTGGAAATTATCTTCAATTTTCTCTTACCAAAAGATCGTCAGGAGCTATCAAGATAACTTCTGTTCGAATCCCTTGATATATCTGCGATACTTCTGTTAATCCTTTGAGTGACCATCTGCCGAGGAGACCTTCTTTGAGAATTCAAAATTCTTGGCGAGTTGGTACTCCTATCAGTCAGCTGACTTGCATTATGACTCCTTTCGAAGGCATCATCACGCGGAGTAAGGTAAAAAGAATGCCTCACAGAGCTTTTGTTCTTTGGACGGATTGGCCCCTCGGACTTTGTTGGGTTGAACATGACTTCCTATCTATCTTTCTACTAAGAGACATTTGGTTTAGTTAGAAAAATTTTCTTTAATTTCATAATTTCTAAGAATTAAGGGGTTTTGGGGTTTTGGGGTTTTGGGGTTTTGGGG